GGGAGATGCGCGTGTTTGGTGGCTAGTTGAAAAGTCTTCGACCAGGGTGAAGGGGGGGGCGCGCGTCTCTCAACACACTGTTGTCTTGTAGAAATGATGTGATCTGCGAGGAACAGAATGCTGTGTGGGGAAGTGTGATCCGTTGAGGGCAGCAGAGGAAACAGAATGCGGTGGGCCAGGGTGGAAGACAGGCATAGTGGAGGAGGACGCGGTAGGAAAAGAGGGATCGCAAGAAATCTATGAGTTGCTTGCGCATGCCCTTTCTATGGTGAAGACACCGGCACTTCTAAGGAGAGCGAAGGGGACACCGTGACGGGAAAAGAGTGAGATGAGCGTCTCCGAACCATCACTTTCTCCAGCCGATAGCCTCAAGCAACCTTTCCTTGATGTTACGCCCATGATCTTCGCAGTAGACTTCCGCCAGTCCGCTCTTGGCGGCACACCATGACTCCGTCTACAAGACAAAAAAAACCGCGAAACCAGTTCCTTCGGGGTGCCCTTTTTCAGCTTGACAACGCCCTGGAACCACGAGAAAAAAAGGGCGCCCTCCCCCGCCTAGACTAGGTATTCTTGCTGAAACACCCGCCAGCGTGGCTACCGTGTCGATTTCACCGCGTTACATTGCTACTCTGTGCTGGATGTTAGACACTCACTTGATCTTGGCTGTAACGTCGGACCACCATCTACACAGCAAGGATAACGATCAGCGCGCAAGCGCCCGTCAATTCCTTCGGGGTGCCTTTCGCAGCCTCGAAACAACCTTAAGTCAAATGACAAAGCACCCCCCCAAACCTATACAGTATCTTCCCAACAGCTGTAGACATCGCCGCCATGTCGACTTACCCCAATCAAGCGCACCAGGTTTATGAGTCCATAACCAAACCGCAGACAAGCAATGACTTCGGGGTTCCTTTTTTTGCTCTTCCAAACGCCCCTTCCTCCAAAAGAAAAAAGCCCCCCGCCCCCCCCGGCCCCGCCTTATGCTTCCCAACGCTTCCTCTGCGCTCTCGCGTTCACCCCCATTGACCATATTCATATTTCCTTGCGGAAGCTGGCTTTCATCCCCTCCCTTCTCAGGCCTAAATTCAATATACGTTTCACTCTTTGGCTTGTCATTGTATGCTCTCCCACATTTGGTCTCATTCATTTGGTTGTCCATTTTTGACAAATCTCTTATGGAGGCTTCTCCATAGCCAGCCCGTTAACCAGGTTTGCTTTTGGCTTGACATTTTCTAGGGGCGCCTTTACAAGTCATGCCAAAGTAATATATCTTTTGCCTGTCATTCTATAGACATAATGTCTCTGTAGGATGCCGGGCAAGTGACCCCAACCATCATTCAGGGAGGATGCTGGAAGCGACTTTGGTTGTCTCATCAGTTGATCATTGAAAGTTGACGGATGCTTCACTAGGGTAGAAAACATGCTGCAAAGTGGGCGGTGTGTGAAGCCCAACTCTTGCTTGCAAGTTGCATTGGGCTTCAATGCTGGGACAGCTGGCCAAACCATGCTCTCCCGTTGCTCATTGTCAGCCTTTGCTGTCAGTGGTTTGTTCCTAATTGAACAATATGTTGCTATGAAAGCACCCCAAGAGAGGATAAACGGAGATGAGGAGAGTAAGGATCCGACAAGAGCAACAAAATGTTTGAGCGCCTCATGATCACAAAAGTGTCAAGGGGCACACGGATGCCAAGAACATGGAGCTGTCTACTGCAGCCAATTAACTGGTTAGGCACCATATGTTTGTTCATCCTGACTGCGGAGCCCCAAAGCGAAGCGCGTAAAAAGGGCGCGCAATCTTGCCGTGCTTAATTAACACGTTGAGATTTCCTTGCCCAATTTTTTCTTGCGCTTGTATACTGTAGGTCGAACAAATGCGCGTAAACACGTTGGTTCAGAATTTTCACACCCGCTGGCTGCCTCCAACAATTGAAGCATGCCGCCAAAGAAGAAAGCAGAAGAGGACGGCTTAACAGTAAAGAAATAATTCAGGTGGAACCACCGCTGTGACGCAATCAAGAGTTTTGACGACATGAGGAGGCGATTGGCCCGTGGATGCTTGGAAGATGGTCCCGGGCATTGAAGGTGGGCCTGGTTGGAATGCCGCACCTCGCACTTCACATCATTGTGTTTGGTATTAACAAAAAGTTGTTAGAACTGCTTGGTCGGTCCTAAGTCTTGTTCATCATTAGGTCGAGTGCTGAACATACATGGTTTGTTTGTGCTGGAAAAGGTTTGCATTTCTCAGCTCAGGAATGTTGGCAAGAGCACTCTCTACAACACTTTGAGCCCCGGGGCAGCAGTAGCATGGTGACGTCAATGGTGCTATGAGCAGGCGTTCAAAAAATGCAACATGTTGCTGCAACAGGACGACACCGATTAACCCCAGACTTTGTTCAGTGTGCTGCGTTAACGCAAGGCAAATCACATCACTCCAAAACGGCAAATGTTTCTTGGCTTGGGGTACAGCTGTGAAAGGAGGGTTGCCAATGCGTGCCAAAGCGCGCCAATGCTTGAGCTGTTTGAATCTGACATACACCGGTGAAAACTAACATTTTTGCCAAAAAAGAATAGTTTCTTTTTGGCATATGTTAGTCTAGTTTCGGAGCGGACACCATTGAGACTAACCTAGGCCAATTTCAGATGTGCCATGGTGGGCCATACGGGTATTTGGCACGGTCCATGTTAGCCTCCACCGGGCTATGTTGACCTCTACCGGCGCGGTCTATGTTAGCCTGCGTTCAGTTTATAGTCACTACCAGGTAGGCCCTAGAGGTGTGTGGCATGGTCCATGTTAGCCTCCACCGGGCTATGTTGACCTCTACCGGCGCGGTCCATGTTAGTGTCAAAATCGATCATAGACTGAGAGTGGGAACGGTCCACGTTAGCGAGCGTCCAGAAATTGCCAAAAAAACGCTAATATCGTTTCCCAGGAAGTCACCGTTTCCAGTGGGCCATGTTAAAGCGCACTTGAAATTGAGTTCTGGTCTATGTTGTTTTTCCTCGGAGTATGTACATTATACATGACTGCTGCGTCAATCAAGGTGCCTTTTTGCACAATTGATCCCACAGAGACGCGGGCTTTCTTGGAGGATGAGCGCTTCGACTGGCTTGTCGCGCAACATAAACCCAAGAGTGAAGTAAAGGCGCTGCAGTGAGTGAAGCAGGATGCGGAGGTTGAAATGAAAAGGTGAGAAGCGAAAAACATAGAAAGAAGATGAGAGAAAGTAGGTGGAGAGGATATTTGTAAGACTTCAATTGACTTCGAGCAAAGTAGCAAAGCCTCATAATGTAGAGTTGTGTCATTATATGTCATTATTAGTCTTTCCACTAAATTCAGACCTTGGAGGCCTTTGTGACCGTAGTGGACATAGCTGGGCTCATATCTGGCGCTCACAAAGGCACTTTTTGGTGAGTGAAAAGCGATGTTTTCTTCAAGATGCAATATGTTTGTTTGCTTTGGGCAGGCTTGCTCATTTGCACAATAGCTTCTAGTTGATCTCGACTGTCTCAGATGTTATGGTGTTGATAGTTGATAGATGTTTTGCTAGCATGGACCAACAAATCAGCATCCCACAGTTTCACCCACTTTGGCCGTACACCTTGTGAAAGTAGAGAGGACAAGTCTCACGGAGAGTCTCCACTGTAAATGCAAAGCGAGGCTGTAGACCATGGGCGCGACACATCCAGAAACAAACAGACAGACAGAGAGAGAGAGAGAGAGAGCGCGAGGGGAGAGCGGAGAGGAGAGAGAGGAGGTGCGTCAAGATAAGTATTTGCGGGCATCGACCAAGCCCCGAAAAAGACATATGGGCACACACACAATGCTTCATGTGACCCTTGCCTGTGCCTTCAGAGCACCAACCTTGAACAAGGATAGTCCGACTTTGGCAAAGTTAGGGCGGGCTGTGGTGCAATGCAGGAGCCCACCAACAAGCTTTTGATTTCCCACTCCAAGCTGCGATGTGGAAACATGCAATCGCATGAAATCAAAGCTCAATGTCAAGCGAATGTTCCAATTTGTTTGGATCAACGCCTGCATGAGCCATCAGAGTGTCCCATTGGGACGGCTGCGCAGCGGCTAGACAATCTAGAAGAGAGAGAGAGAGAGAGCTAGACTGCAGAGGGAGAGGAGGGGAAACGCAGAGCCGAAGACATCCCTGTCACATGTTTTGGCGATTGGTGAGGCGAAGGGTTGGGCAACGCATTCCTCTCTCACATCCAATCAGTGGAAACCTGACGGCAAGAGCTTTCAGCAAAGGTTCCTCACAATTGGTGTGAAGAGCTTTATGCTGAAATCTATGTATAGTTACATATACTGTAAGTATTTCTGCCAAGTCACCTGGAGCGAGCACAGGACGGCATATGCCACGTCATGAGAGCCTTTGAAGATGATGATGTCATCCACGCAGAAGACACAGTGGACCCCGTCTTTTTGCTGAATTTCGCACAAGCAGTACATAGAATTAACACTTGAGAATCCTAAACGAAGCATGCCAGATGTGCGTGCATTTGCAGTTTTTGTGCAAGTTCTGGCGTTAGATTGTGATGTTTTTTGGCATTACAATGCATTACATGCGTAGCATTGATTTCTGGAAACGCAAAGAAAAGGTTGCATCGGCCATGGTGTATTGATCGGCGCTGTCACTACAGGTTCGGGACATCAACACAATTTGTGCAGAACTGCGATTGAAAGACATTTCCTACATGAAGGGCAAGGCGGGGCAAGGCAACGTTCGGATGCACGTAACTCTGTAACTCTTAAGAAGTTCCTTTAAACGCCCAATTAATTATAACTTACTAGCTTTTACTGTAAAAGTGTCTTGTTGCAGCCTCAAGTGGAAAACAATTTGGCAGGTTGAATTCCACAAGAAAGGCCATGCAGCTGCAAGGACCAAGTCACCAGCGCATCTTAAGACGCTTGTTTTGCCTTTCTATTGGTTCGGCTTCGCCTTGTGTAGGGAACGATTGCGCGGGATGATTGCTGGGAACTTACGACTCAGGAAGTGGGAGGAGGAACTGGAATGCATGGAAAAGATCATTGCCTGGCTAGAGGAGGGAAAGGACGCCGTGAAGTCCGCATTCAGTCTTAAAAGTCAGGTTTCAATCCTTTCACAAGTGTCACATCTCAAAGTTGTTCGTTACGAAAGCCAGCCGATAGGCTAGGCTGAAGTGCTTCATGGGCAAACGAAGTGAGTATTAGGGGGTGTGGCGGGGATGGTTGCGGGCGGGTAGGGTGAACCCAGAGCCTGGTGGGGGAGCGCGGAGAAAGTGGGGTGGCCAAAACGCAGTCGAAATGCAACTTTATGAGGGCCTTGGTGATGCGAGCGATGCCAAAAAGGTGGAACAGCTCATTGATAGCTTCGCAAAGTGGCCAGGACACCACTCAAGTGGACGACAGTCTCTGTGAATCTTCCCTGTTGTTGGTATCTTGTGTACAGCCGAGTTCTGTCCACGGTACATTCTGCTGCCATTTGGGTTTACAGGGCCCTTGAGCTTTCCCGCGCTTACGCCTGCGTGAAAACGCCGTTGGACGTCGCGGTCGGGGCCAATTTCATATTGGTAATTCGTGTTCCGTCCCACTGCATCCAGATGCCCATAAATCCGCCGATCCAGGATTCGTTCGTGCATTCGTGCCGAGGATTTGCAACCAAGTGTTCTTGAAATTGCCCGTTGAGGCCTGACAGACAGGAAATGTCGGTCGCAGGACTTCACTTTAACCCCGACAAGAATTCAGCAGGCGGTACTCAGTTGGAGACCAAATCTGGCTCGTACACCTACTATGGTGATGCCGCATCGTTTCATGACTGCGAATTTCGCCCCGGCCTTCGCATTCGCTTGTGGAAAGAAGGCAGCAAACACAAGAGCAATTCCAGAAAGAGTGCTCCAGCGACAACGCCAAAGAGGAGTGACATGCCCAATGGAGGTACCGAAGAGGACGCTGAGCTCCCAGGTTTCCCTCCTGTCGAACCAGAAGAAGAAGAGGAAGTAGTCATCACCAAGCCAGACATCAGCACACTCGTGAACAAGATCCTCGAAGGTTTGCGTGGAGATGCCTTTTTGCTTGCCAGGGACGTCGGTCTTGATGCCCTCACCAGTGAGGAAGGATTGGAAGACCTATTGCAAAAGATGAAGGCTTTCGTATTCCCACGTGCCAATTATCAGAGGCGAAGGAGTTGTTCCGCGCTGGCCAGAGGCCCTTTGTCTCGCCAATCTGGAGAGTCCATGCTGTCGTACACCAACCGACGCAAGCGTTGGTGGTCCGTGCTGCAGGAATTGGATTCGACCATGATTCTGAGTGACAGTCTTCGTGCCGAACTGTTGCTCGGTTTGTCGCGCCAGGAGATCCTTGTGACCAAAGCATACGCCACTCCCAAGAACGAACTTCGAAGGATATTGCAAGGTTCTCGTTGACCAGGAGTTCACCTCAGAGAAGGTGGCAAGATATGGCAAGGCCGCTCTTCATGTTTGGGAAGGGCAAGAGCTTTTCGAACCATTCAGGAAAAGGCAAATCATTTCGTTCTGCGTATGTCTCATACCCTGAAGTGGATGAGCATTCGTCGTCAACATGGGAAACCATGGAAGAAACATTGAGACCAACTTCGATGAAGGCGACTCCCACGCCTGGTTGGGAGATGGATTTGATGAAGAGGAAGAAGTGCAGGAGCAAGAGTTCGATTACCTTGAAGATGAAGAAGAAGCAATTGCTTTGAACGCAATGTTGGACCTCGAAGAGGCCGACGACCGCCAAGCAGGAGAAGCCATCCAGCTTCAGCTCGCTGCATTCAATGCATTCGGCAAAGCCAAAGGCAAAGGTAAAGGTTTTGGCAAGAAAGGATTCAAAGGTAAAGGCAAAGGCAAGGTTGTCCGCAACCAGATGAGCATTGAACAACGCCGGCCAAGTCAAATTGTCTTCGCTGTGGAGGCATGGGACATTGGGCCGGTGTCCCTGGTTGCAAGCTTGCGAACAAGCCACAACCCCCGAAGCCTACTGCCAACCTAGCCTACATGAGAGTGAATCATCAGATGATGAAGAAGGGTTTGTTTATGTAGGTGCAGCCACATCTACTGAGCAGACCAATGCAGCCATGATCGATGGCATTTCGACCAGGAGCATCCGGTAAGGGTTCACTTCCCCGTCTGTTGCAGGCACAGTCGTCCATGGTTCGTGCAAACGATGCCACATCGTCCGACTCAGGCACCCGAGTGACTCCGTCGTCGGTCGAGCGCCCCATGGGATTCGACAATGTGTTTCAGATTGGACAGTTCAAGGGGAAGACCTATTGGGATGTTCTGCATCGACAACCCCAATTCTATGTATGGGCAAAGACGGAAGGTTCTCGTGTTCCCGGAATTCAGCAGTATGTGCAATGGGTTGACCAGTTCTTTGAGTTCACTTACATAATCTGTTTTTTATAACATGTTAAGTAGAATTAACCAACTTATCACGAAACTATTAAATATAACTATATAGTTAGCCAGAGTTAACAAGTCACTTTTGAAAAGTAAATGTACAGAACATAAGCTTTGGAAAGAACAAAAATATAGTTACCAGCTGCTTGATTTTAGCTGGTGGCTCTTATTTACATCGAGTAAAATCACATGGTGTTGAAAAATGCTTCTTTTGATGGAAATGCCACATGGCAAGCCTATTAACTGTTCATATCAAAATGTTCCAATAACCTATACCAACCCATCCTACATGAACACTTTGCTGGGTTTGATGAAATGCCAAGCCAATCGACTGTTGCATTGCCACTTTTCACGCATTCACTGGCCTGATGAAATGCCGTGGAGCCAGTTTTGGCGCTTAGAAATACAAAACCAGCCAGCGCATGGACTCTGCTTAGGATCCTTTTCTCCAGCATTTGGGAATAGATTGGGTAAGGCAGAAGCGCCTTGGCTGTGCCTGTGCTTTTGTGGCAAATCACAGGCATAATTATAATGATGTCTGCCGTGGGTACAACCCCCAAGTTGTGGTCCAGCACTTGGCAAATTGCACATTGCTTATGTGGAATCCATTCTTTGACCAGCCAAGACTTCACCAAGGTAGTGGCAAGATCATGCAACAGGAAATGCAATTGGATTTCTGCAATCCCCATGGACTCACCTGCCTGGTAAATGACAATGTCATCCTTGAAGCAACTCATATGGTTCACTTTGGCACACGGGCCTCGTTTGGCCTCTCCAATTGGCTCACCAATCAGATTGGATAAAGTTTGCAAACTTTTCTTGGAAGCTGAGATGGGGTCAACCAAATGCACACCATCTTTGAACAACTGTGGCTGGTCCAAGTGGCAGATCTCCTTGGCAAGAGCTTGCTCCAAGAGATTGGTTTCAACATTCTTCTTGTTTTGCAAACTAGTGGCCAATTGGCCGATTGGCTTGTGCTTTCTTTCATTGGCAAAGCATGATGGGAGAAAGCCACATCTTTGCTGTGTATCTGGCATATGGAGCAGCCAATGCCATTTCTTTATCAATGACACTTCTGGGAAGGCAGTCTGGAATCACTGTATGGCCAGCTCTACGGCTGGCAATAAAGTGCCTTTGCTGATGATGCCAGCAAGGTTTCCATCATGGACCTGGTCAATGAGAGATGCCATTGCCAGCAAAGCCTGGCAAGCTGGAGCTTGGAGGCCATTGGGCAATGCCACGTCGTAAACAAACTGGCGCACAATTGGGTATATGGCTAAACACTCTGAAGCTTGGACTGAAATCTTTTGATTGTTTTTGTGGCTTGTCATCTTCTTCTTGGAGAAATAGGTTCCAACATGCTTGCACTTCCAAGCTCTTGGGAAAACCCAAAACTGGAAGTAAGTCTCCAAGCCAGACCACACTTGGAAACCTTCTTCCATGGCACACAGAGAATGGTATAACACAATGGGTGCAGTTCCCTGCAATGTGCCATGCATGCAATCATGTGCAAACTGGCTGCGTGGCCTCACTTGGCCCATGGATTCCAAGTCTGGGTCGAGCAGCAAAGCCTTGGAGCGGTGGTTCCAGCCTGTGGCCTGCTGCCACATGTCAAATTCTGCTTTGGTGCACTTGGTCTTTTTGGAATCCAATTTGGCATATGACTGGGGAACCTCTGCATCACTGGTCAACACCAACTGGCTGTACTTTGTGATGTTGCAGTGCATCTGGTCCTCTGTGGTGCCACTGGCTTGAACATTGGCACATACCATCAGCTAACAGCAAGGAGAAGGTGATTTGGAGCCTGATATCTTGGCATTGTGGGCCTTTCAACAAAAAGCCAGTGGGTGGATGAATCATCTCATGGCAAAAAATGCTTCTAAGCAGAGCAGTGGTGATTTGGCCAACACCAGCTTCCACAGCTGATACATTGCTTGATCTGACCAAAGCTATGGTGAGCCAACTGTCTGTGGGAGGTGCTGACCAAATTGGAGGAAACTGGCATACCATGCCCAGCTCTTCCTCTCTGCCCTGCCCAACACATTTCCAGGCACCAACTCGTCCAAGTATACAACTAAAGACCATGGCTTGCTGGTCGAAGATGAAATCATCAAAATAGTTCAGTTCAGAAAATTCTGAACTTAACTCTTAAATTTTTAAAGTTAAGTTCAGAATTCGGAACTGAACTCTTAAATTTTTAAAGTTATAACGACGGCAGAATAGATAGAAGTGCAAAAAAGTCAAAAAACCAGGGTCTATAGCCGACCGAGCTTTTGACATTTCTATCTTTGGTATCTGCCTGTAAAACACAGGGCAAGTGACTTATTTAACAAAAGACCGCCCGACCGAGCACCCAAAACACTTCTATCTTTGAGATTTCAAGTGAGTATACATGCCACAAACAAAAAACTTCAATCATTTCCCTCCACAAGTTGTCTGACAGGCCATCCGGCATTTTCTCCCTAAAGCTGGAAACTTGGGCATACCACTTGCAATGTGTGATGTGCTCCTTCAAGGTCATGTTCTGGAGGCATTCCACACTCAAAGCCGTGGTCGGATCGTTTCCACTTGGCTTTTCCCAAAGCGAATCCAAGAGCTGAGCCTTGGCTAAAGCCTTGGGAGTTGGTGAGACCGCACCTGCCAAAGAGTCACGCTGTGGCTGACTACACGATGGTCCGGCGACTTCC